AGCATCTGCCTGGCATGAGACAGTGAAAGCCCCCACCAGGGGCTTTTCATAGCCCGGTGAGCCAAGTGGGGAACAGTTCCACTCTCTCCTGGTGAGGAGGCAGGGCTGAGCCAATCCCAGCCTGACTTGCTGGGTTGTGGCATTATGAAAAGTCCCCAGTAGGGGCTTACCACCCCATACTAGGCAGACCCCTCTGTGGGGGTTTGTACCAGGCTGAGCCACCTTCCCCTCCCCACCCCTCCAGTTTCTCATCGGGGTGGGCCTGAGCACATGCCAGTTTGGTGTGCCATTGGGCTGGATTTAGCTCTTAGGCAGCTGGCCATGATGGGTGGTGCATGTGAGCACTCCCCCAGGCTCCTGGCCTTGGCTAGTTCAGGCTTCTGTCTCTCTTGGCCACCCAAACACTGAACATCAGTTCAGTTTGTTATCAGGTCAAGCTATGCAGCTTTAAAAAATCTGCAGCTTTTGAGCTGATTCTGTCTTGGGCTTTTTGAACCTCTGTACTTAGCCCTGAAGTCAGTGGGAGCTTAGCCAGTGTAATGGTTCAGTAGGAGATCAAGCCCTAATACATGGCAGTGTTTTGTCAGACTTCTTGTTGATGTTCCTGTGTTCAGTGTCAAGTTTATTATTTTTCCTGAAGTGTGCTCTCTAGACTATTAGTAGCAAAAAGATTAGAGCTAATTTGGATCCACAATTACACAACTTTCCTCCCAGCTCTCCATGTTTTATACAATTTCCCTAAACAGACTTCCATACTCTCCTACAGTTTATTTCTTAACCAACTCAGCCATCTCCACCCAATCAGGTGTATGGCAATCAGTTGTGAGGTGTTTTGTTACCTGTTGCTTCCCTTTCAAATCACTTTCAGTCAAGGCGACTGAGGAGGCGTGTCCTCAGTCCCAAAGATCCAAGACTTTTATCTTAATACACCTCTTGTAAATATTTTATGCATCAGATATAAACAGCCCTATAAGTTACACCTGTGATTTATTGAGAATTATACCTATGTGTTTCATCTCCTGCTATCAAGTAGGAGACAACAATTGCTCAGAGTCCTAAGGCCATTTTGTATATTAAGCAGTCAAACTCTGTTTCTGTTAACCATTACAGGCATTGAAGGTGGAGCAGTGAAAGTTCATGGAGCAAAAGGATCACCTCCTTCAACATTTTATAAGGTATTCTTTTTATTGTGTTGATAATGATATAGTATGAAGTGCACTTGATGTGAGAAATTTGATATTTTGGAGGAAGAGGATATACCATCTTCAGGTAAAACTCTTATTTTTTCATTCTTTGAGAAACAGATGTAACTAAGGTTAATTTATAAGCCTTTGAGGAAGACCGTAATGCAACATGGTCGTGTAGGCTAACATTGCATTTTAAACAAAAATGCTGTTCTTAGTCCCAATGTCTTGTTTAATGAGGGCTTTCAGTCATTTTTAATTACACACACATCTACTCCTGCTTCAGTGTAAAAAGTTAATTTGATGATTCTTGGAAATAAAATTCTGTGTACATAATACACAGGGGGGCTGTTAAAAAGAATGAATTAATGTTTAAATAGGTTTTTGAGATTCCTGCTTAGAAAATGCTATGTAACTACAATTATTTATTTATTTATTACTGTAATCTACCAGTGGCACTTGGAAGGGTACAATTTTGGGGCAATTGTATTGAAGTGCATACAGGGCTTGATCTTATTCCCATATAAACCAATGGCAAAACTTCAAGTGACTTTCATGAAAGCAAGGTTGGTCCTATAAATTAAAACTCTTGGTGAAGTGTTACCATAGCTGAGCTTATATGACTGAATTCATTTTGAAAAACACTTCTTTTTTAGAAAACAGTTATAACGTAAAAAAGCACATAGTATTGTTTGTAAAATGGTACTGCTTATACACACATTTTTAAAGTACATCAAGCACATTTTAATTTTCTGCCAATTTGAAAGAATAATGTATCAATTTTAAAGTATGACAACTATATATCATTTATTTCAGATTCTAAAAAGAATACTGTATTCAAAGTAGAGAAGGTATAGTTTTGGCCACAGTGACTGCAGTGTAGAAAACAAAGACATCTTTAAAATCATTAATTTTGAGTATATTTTAAATTAATGAATATCCCTATTTCATGTTTCTCAGTTACTCGTACACTTTTCAAGTTTTTCATTTGTTATATTCCTAATAATAATTTTGTTAGCTTTATGATGGAACATTTTGTTGTTCTTAACCATCAGTAATTTGGCAATGTAATCAGAAACTAATTTTTTCCACAGTATCACCTAGTTAATAATACCTTGAATTCATAATATGTATGTATGTATGTATATAATTTCAGTTGTGTGTACAAAATATTGTGTTCTGCCCTTCATGTTTTCAGTCTCTTGCATATTAAATAAGAACTTCAAGAAACACAATGTTAAAATAACAACTTCCACTTGTGTTATGTGGTCTGTACTTGGGAGAGCAAGTATTTTTGAGATCTGGAAAAAAAAATGGGTTTTGATCACTGGGAATACCTTTAAAAATAATAATTGAGAGGATTTTGAAATAATTTTTCAAAATTAGAGCTAACTGGTCCTAATTGTGGGCTAACCATTTTCTGTTTAGGAAAAAAAAGCATTTAAAAAATAAAACACATTCTAAAGATTCTGGACTGGCTGTATTTTATTTAATACAAAATTAATGTCAAAATTGTACTGAAGTTCCTCATCATAACTACTATTTTAAGTTGTGCATTTTTTCTTTCAAACAAAGGAACATTTTACAAAATCTGGAAGATTTTTTTTGTAGTAGAATGTGCTTTATAGATATTTTTTCTTTTTTAAACTTTTTTTTAACAGTGTTCAGCAGTCTTCTTCAGGTCCGGTTATCACTACTAAAGTTTCATCTCTTTACTTTTACACCTATTTAGTCAATGCTAAAAGTATCAATGACTAATAAAATATGCAGCAATGAAGGCCCATATTAACAAATGAGTTACAATAAATCTCAATAGAAAGGTGTTAATTCCAGCAGTATCTACCATACAAGTGCATAGCTCCAGATAGCCAGTTAAATTAAGAAACAAATAAAGATATACATAAATCAAAAAGACAGTGCATATTTAACCCTTTTTTCTCATATAGAGCATGTTACCTTTCAAGACAATATAGTAAGAATAATAATTCTACAGATCTCAAATATTAAGAGACATGTTTAGAATATATACTATAACTAAAATAATAGTCTGAAACATCAATATTATGTTAGTAAAATTTCCTCACATATTTTTTTCAGTTCTGTAGAACATTGTGTTTACTCAGGTGCTAAGTTAACATATGGATGGATGGATAGATATTTTGTATGCATCTGCACGTGCGTGCGTGCACACTCACACGCGCACACACACACACACACACACACACACGTAGCTTGGACTTTTATTGTTAGATGTATGAAAAAAGAACCCAATATATACATTTTGACTAAGTGATGATTGGATGTGCATGATAACAAAGAAGGCGCATACCACATGCAGAGAAAAAAATTATGCTTCTTTTCCTTCTGGATATGTTGGTAATTACTGCCTGTTGACCTTTTAGAGTAAATCAGGGGCAAATCCTTCATTTTTATAACCTTTTATCACTAGGTAAATGCCACTTACCTCGATGGTTACAGAGCTACAGCTGTCTGCCCAGTAGGTGGGCCGAAGGCAGTGGAAAAAGGAAGGCGAACAGCAGAAAGCATTCTGAAAAGGTTAGTATACAATACAGATTCACTTTATTTTTTCTTTTAAGAAGCATAAAATCAAAATAAATTGGTAAACTGTACTAATAAGATGGCAGTCACATCAGTCTAAGAGGCTGCCTAGAAGATGGAATTATTTAAAATGGTTGGAGATATCAAGACATAAATTGTATAATTTAGAACCTGTTTTTCTTTTACCAAACTCATTCTAGAGCTATGAAATATCAGTAACATTATTTATCAAAAAGCAGGCAATAGGGCAAGAAGTTAGATGTGTTTGTTTAGGCTGGTGGTGGCGCTCAACCTTTTCACTCAACGGGCTGGATGGGCAGTGCCATATCTAACCATGGGCCAGATGGTGGTTCTGATCCAGCACCTGGGGCCAGCATGGCAGCCACTATCCAGCCATGGTGGGGGGAGGTCAGGCTGGACTGAGCCTAGCCCAGCAGGGGGAAAAGGAGCTCCACTTAGCCCTGTAAGGTAGAAAAGGGGGCATGGTCTGCTAATGGAAAAGGGGGCATGGTCCAGTCCCAACCCAGCCCCACAGGGGGAAGAGGGTGTGGCCCATCCACACAGGGGGAAGGAGATACTGTCGGGCTCTGCAGGGCACACGGGGTTTGGGAGTTTGGCACTATATTAATGGCTTCCCACGGCCAAGTTTCTGGACCCATGGGGAGCCCTGTGGTACTGATGCAATGGGCTCTGTTGGTTGCATTTGGCCTACAAGCTGGAGGTAGAGCATTCCTGGTTTAGATAACCTTACTGGCCAAGGCATATGATGAAAGTTAAGTCAGTAGTGATGCTTATCTACTTTTGACTAATGACCAGTTTCTAGCTGTAAGGCAGCCTGACAGCCTTGCTATCCATTTCAGCAGTTCAGTGTATTTCATCTATTTTATTTATTCAGGTATAAAAATTGAACTGTAAGTGCCCATCCAGGGCTTTGAGTGCCTGATCCATATATTTAAATGCTGCAGCGTAATATACCACCCATGAATATATCCATTTCTACTTCAGCCCTCATATTCCTCAACAGCTTTGACAAAGAGAACCTCTGTTTTTTATAGGCTAAAACCAACACATTGAATTCCATCCAGTATATTATTAGAAGCCAGTGCAATTCCCAAAGCATTGGGCTAACGTGCTCCCGATATACAGCTCCTCTCAATAAACTGTCTTCAGCATCTCTTCAGATTCAGCTTGTGACATATATAATTATTATTCTTCATTCCTTTTCTTTATTCCTCACTTCCTTCCTCTCCATTGTTCAAAATGAATGATTAAAAAATGTGTAAAGAAGCAGCCATTTAAAGCACCCTTTAATGTGCCTCAAGAAGTTAGTTTTAAAACATTTAATGCATTTGCGGCATTCTAGTGCATTGTAAAAGCTCGAAATATGCTGTTTAAGGTTACCTGTATGTTATAAGTACACCAAGTAAGAGAAGATTTCGGCAATCCTCAGAAAAGGGAACAGATTCTATTAAAATCAAGAACTTTCCCACAATAAGCAGTGGTGAATGGTTTAAAACTCTGGTTGAATGAGAAATTAAGCTAGCCACAACAAGGAATCTAGACAGGAAATCAGGATAGTTATAATACCCTTTTACACAGGTTCTCTGTACAGCATCAGTGATTTTAGTGCTAAAAGAAACTCACTGCAAGTCTGGTCAAGGATGAGTCAGGGTCCCCAGCTAAAACTGCTAAGGACTAAAATTGACGCACCAAATATATTTTAAATTTTCATGTCTACAGTTAGTTTTATATGTTATATTTAACTTGTCTTTGGTAATGTGCTACGTTCTGTTACTCAGCACATCTGACCACTTTTATTTTGGTGTTTAGATATAAGGTTTGATACCTTATTTTAGGCATCAGTTTCAATTTTCACCAACAATAAGTGGAAAAGAAAAATATCTTACCTAAATATAATTTAACTTAATTTTATCTATTTAAGGTAATTTTACCTGTATAATTTAATATTAAATTCCTTTATTCTGGTGCCATATAGATACGTCATTGAATATAGACAGAAAGTGTCTTTTAAACTGCTCCATAGGTATGAAAGATTCTGTCAGTCCAAACATAATTTCCATGGTTGTATTGGTAAAATCTCTTAAAACAGTGGCAGCAGGTGAGAGTGCCAGATACTGTGATGCTCTTCAAGTGCATTGACCTCATCTATCTGATGTGTTGAAGAGGCACTGAAGCTATTAAATGGAAACTGGGCATTTGATATGTTTTTTTAAGTCTCTTATATGGTATGTTCACAAAATTGACATTTTTTTCTCTCTAATAATGCTGCCTTTTTCTCATATTGTCAAAGTTTTATAATGTATTACAATTTCAATTGAGGTGGAGTTTACATGACTATTTCTGTTTTATTTAAATACTGATTGTACACCAGTATAATTGAGTATGTCAGGCTTTTTGGAAAGGATTAAGTATGTCTCTTCCAAGCTGTGCAAAACCTAAGAATTATAGGTCCAGTAATGATATATTATTTTGAAGACACTAAAAGCTGTCTTATGCAATTGTCCATGTCATTAGGAGAAACTGTAGAATGATTTGTTGAACATCATTGAATGAGCTTTAGAGAAAGTGTCCTGTGGTCATTTTAAAATGCACTGTGGCTTAATGTGCGTAATCATGAGCCATTTGAATTAGAGCGTCTGTCCAAGAGCCACTCTAATTAAAACGCCCCACCGCCATTGCCAACACATGTATAGGCAGCTTCCTAAGTGTCTAAATCCACATAAATGCCTAATTGGTGGAATAAGAGCAGGCCCTTAGAGTTAAGCAGTCAGGACAAATTTTGGAAATACCTCACTTGACTGTGAGCACATCTACTAATTAGCTCCATAGTAAATGTCTCGTTTCTACATGTGCAGCCCTATTAGGCTGCAGGAAACTAATTAATTCCACAGCAAGGTAGTATTTGTGAATACAAGTACTACCCTACTGTGGAATTTTTCAAGCACAGTAGTGTATGTGTAGATGCTGACCCAGCTGACTGGGGCATGAGCGTGTTTCAGTGTGGGGGCTGCCTTCTGGCTAACTCCTCAGTGGAAAAGACTTGTGCCCCAGCCAGCCCCTCTGCAGCACATTGAGCTGAGTTGGAGCAGCTCCGGATTCCCTAGGCCTCCTGTCAGCTGGTGCTGGTCCAACCTGGCTCAATGTGTTGTGGTCTCAGGTGCACATTCAAATAGTACACTTGGGAGCAATAAGCTCTGGCTCAATAAGCACTGGGGTTAATTGCTTCAAATTAATTGCATGTGTAGATGTGCCCATGTATAGCTGTATCATTTGAATTGTATGTGTAGATGCATCATTTGAAATATGGTATAGCAATGTATTTGTTCAATGAGAGGTATTTAAATCCAAACTTACATAAAATTCAGAGTTTACATCCATGGGCTGTACTGGGATATTGCATATCATTCTTATGAAGTAGTTGGCTAATAAATAATTTGTTGCAGGACTCGCCTTATTTTCAGTCAACTTGGGTATGAAGATTATAGTGCAGTTAACATACAGATTTTAGGTTCTGAAGAGACATATGGACCGCATGCAAAAAAGCATATAGATGGTGTAAGTATTTAATTAATCATTTTAAAAACTGCATTAGTCACTTTGAATCTTTATGTGTTCTCTTTTTCTGACTTTAAAAGAAGTTATTGGAGGAAATTTCAGAGCTACTATCATGTAAAAATGTATGTATTTTTTTTATAGAGGTGGTTAGCCATGTTAGTTGGAAGCCAGGCACCAGGTAGCACAGGATGGAACCTTGTGAGGCATGGGGCTCACACAGGGATTCATTTCCAGCGGTGGAAAGTTTCCATTTCCACCGCTAGAAATGATTCTGAAAGAGGGAACAGTACAGCTGTTCAGCTTGCAACTGCCCTCTCTCCCTTGCTCCTGGTGCCTTCCTGAGACGTGGATGGTCCTAGTGTTGGATAAGTTTGGAGAGTCCCCTAGTGTAGAGAGTGAGGGAGGACTTTGCCCAACTGTTCAGCTTGCTTAGCTCCTGGGCATTGGGAGCTGAACAGAGTGAGTGGCACCATAAGTCCCCACACTGCTCACCTGACCAGTCACTGGAGTGTGCAGCACTAAACCCTGGTTTGAGGAGGTGACAGGTAGCAGTGGGTGGCTGCTCCTCTTCTCTCATTCTATAAAAGAATCAGGATCAGATGCCTCCAGCACATTCTCCAGACTGGGGTGACCCTAGTCTCCAAAGGTACAGGAGCCCTTCCTTGATGTTTGATTCTTCTTGGTCCCTGGGAGGAGTCAAACAAAGTGTACAGGCAGTTGTTCTCCTGAAAGAAACTCACCTCAGGGCAGCTTCTACCTGGTAGGACTTGGGTTACTTTTCTCCTAAAAGTGCCATTTTTGTTCTGGGAGAGACTATGTGAATGCCTGTACATGCATGGTTTCTACCAGGGGAGCTGTAATTCTCCTGGTATAAATGTAACACCTGTATGCAGCCATGAGCTTTCATAGGCAACAACCAACTTTGTCAAGTGCTAGGATGGACTGATGCTGGGAATGCAAAATTAAGACTACTTGTGCAACTATAATTAGCCCCCCTTGTGAGTATGCATTTTGTTAGTCTTAAATTACATGTTCATATTATGTATCACAACAATTGCATACAGATATAAACGGGATGTGTTGTTTGGCAACACTGTGTCTGTAATCTCTTTTTTTAAATTGATATGTGAACGTCTAAAAAAAAAAAAAAGCAGTAAATCTTTGTATTTCCTGTTATACATTTGTAGTACAACTTGTTACAAAATGGTAGCATCTAAATCTTTTTTGTCAGCTGTAAAATTTTATAAAGCAGCAAGGTATATGTCAGACAGCACTCAGTTCTATGAATCTAGTGAGAAGACCTGCACTTTAGAATTGCTTAAATAAGTACAGCTGATGAGCTGTTTACGAACTGTTAATTTTTACAGCAGAAATTAATTAATTTATCATTGCATCTGTTAATTTAAATGCTTGGATTTAACGTCCTTCTGCAGTGTAGTTCCTTCCCCACTGAACTAGCTTTATAATGGTTATACAGCTGTCCAATAATTTTGTTTCCCAGGATCATACATAGTCTACTTTAATCTGATTCCTTTAAATACACAGAAAACTGTATTAAAAGAACCTGATCAGGGTTATGAAGTCAAGCATTCGAAAGTTATGAAATTTCAAGGAACCTTAGTTAGGATACTGTGCATATACATTTTGTTGCAGTTTTGAAATGCATGATTGCATACTATTTTATTAAACAACATTCACCTGAAAAGAGCTATTTGATAGTTTGTGTTATGCCCATTGTTAATTGATGTCTTTCCCCCCTATTTACTGTGTGCCAGGGGTTTTAAACCTTTTTAACAAGTGTACCCCTTTTGTCTCAAAGTTTCAGCTCATGTACCCCTTTATATTTTTTTCTTGTTTTTAATGTTATCTATTATGTTCTTGGCTGCTGCTGCCTGCCTTGAATATAGCTCCAGAAAGAGCCCAGCACTGCCCCAGCCCCAGCCCGCAGTGGCAGCCCACCATTGCCCTGCACGCAGATCTGGGGGCACATGCTCCCCATGACCCCCCGGGGTGCGTGCAGTGGCAGGAGCTGCCATACTGCCCCCTCCTCCTCTCCCTGCCCGTAGCCCCCAGACAAGCTGCTCTCAGCTCCATCCCATACCCTGCTCTGGCGGTACAGCACCTGCCCCAGCTCCACCCCCACCCCCACTCCCTTCCTCGCTGCGGGGACCTCAACCTGCCCCCCACCACTCCCCTTCCCTTACAGACTTACCAGCCGGACCCAGCTGCTCTCCAGGCTGCCAGGCTGTGTACATGCACGGGGCATTTATTGGCCATGTCAGCCAAAAAAAGACAATTGCCAATACTTGTACATGCATTCTGTGTACCCTCTATGACCTTTTTAAGTACCCCTACTTGTAAGCGTACCCCTGGTTGACAACCATTGCTGTATGCTATTCAAATTCTTCAGTTTCCTCATGGATTTTTCTATTATGCTTATCATTGTAAGAAATTAATGCTTCAAATCATTAATTTATATTCACAAACCTGTCCCACAAGAGGAAATAATTATTCTTATTTTACAGATGGTAAATGAGGTACAGAAAGTATATGATCAAGTGTCCATTAGTTCTGAGAACCAAATTTGAAATTGATTTTCTTCAGAGAGATTAGCATTACATAATGTGTACATATTTATAGTTCCTATTGACTTCATTATCCTCTGGGAGTACTCACTACTTCTGTAAATAGGACAGCAGTGCCTCGAGTCAGCCTCCCAGAAAAGGAGGTTCACACTATTTCTCACCATAAGTGCGAAGTTTGGTTTGGACAGCATGCCTTGCATCATGTGGCAACTCCTAGGCAGAGATAAAAAAAACCCCAAGCCAACTTTCCTAAATTGCTGACACTACAAAACTGGTTTTGTTTTATATTCCCTTGGCTCATTCACTAACATCTTACAACATCTCAAACAATATGACTGTACACCTTTATTCTTCCCTTAAACACAGTCTATCATGCATTCAGAAGTAGGGGTTGTGTTTTAAAAAGTTTGTGATCAAGTCAATTCTGTTATAATGCATTCATGCAAAATGTCTGAACTGAGGTTGCTTATGCAACTGCAGATCTGGCATTTTCTAAAATTGAAGTCCTTTATTTTGCAACATTAGTAATGCTCATTTACCATCCTTCTTTCTATGAAATCTCCATGGTTTTTGAACCCCCCCAAAGAAATATATCAAATTCCTTCTCATAACAGTAGATGGTCATCAACATGGTTCATCCACAGGGTTTGAACCTTTAGATCTGACCTTTAGATCACGTGATAGGCATCTGTGCTGTGATATCAATACTTGTTTGTCGTCCTCCATCCTCTTTGGATTAGTACTGGAGGGAAATAAATATTTTGCCCCTCCTCTTCCATCTCCCAAAGTCCTTATCCCAATGTGCATTTTTACCCCCTCAGGTCCAGATCTTGGTTCCCCTGCCTTTAATCAGGCAGCTTCCTCCTCAAAGCTGCCAGGATCCAGCAAGGGGAGCAGGCACTGAAAGCACAGCATAAACAAAGCCGTGGCACACGTTTAATTTATGACATATATTGTGCCATAAAACTGACTCATTAACAACTTTACAATATTTGAGGAAGTTTCAAAAAGATTTTACCAAGTTTTGGACATGAATCTGAGTGTTTCTTCTTGAGAATATTATTTGAGGTAAAAATTGAATTCCAAAGGACAAGGCAGGAAACTATACAATTTTCTGAAGTTTGGGGAATATCCAACATTTGTTTTCAGGGGGTGCATCTACACATGCTGAACTGTACAGTAGACTAATTTACTGTGGTATAAAGTGTCATAATCTACACATGTGACTCTATTAGACTGCTACAAACTAATTTTCAGCCCGTTAAGGTAGTACTTTTGGGGACAGTACTTCTTACAGTGGCAAAAATAGCCTTGCCTAAATGCATGTGTAAACACTGACCCAGGCATACATTGTACCTAGGCTGCAAGGGGCCAGACCTCTGCCTGCTGCCCAGAGGCATGGCTCTGCATGTGAAGCACTCTTGGGCCCCAGCCACCTCCTCTGCTGCCCAATGCTATGACCGAGAGCTCAGAGCTGACCCCTTGAGCCTGCTGCCAGCCTGGGGCTGCTCCGCCCTAGCTCAAACTGCTGTGGTCCCAAGTGGACATGTAGACGCTGTGCCTGGGAGCCATTAACTTTGGTAAAGTTAGCCTCATTTTAATGGCACGCGTAGATGCACCCAGGATAACTGAAGAAAAGAATTAGAAAATCTTTTAACAAAAAGATGGATGAAAATTATGTTACTGCTTTGTATTAGTACATAGTGGGTGTGTCTATACATGCACTTTACGGTGCAGTAGACTAATTTACTGCACAGTAAAGCATCACCATCTACACATGCACAGCATTTAGGCCAGTGTAGACTAACTTACAGTGCCATCAGATAGTGCTGTCAGACAGAGGTATTGTCTGATGGTGGAGTATATTACTATGCTTAAATGTATATGTAGACAGTGACATCAGGATTAGATTACTCCAGCTCAAATTGCACGAGAGTTTATCCAGTTGCATTAATTATATGCATAGACATGCCCAGTGATTGTCTTTTTATAGAGTTTCAGCTATGGTAATGACAGTTCATCTTTGGAAGATTCCTTATGTTTAAATGTACTAGAGCTATGCATATTAAGTAAACCTTTACTTATGACTGTTGAATTCATTATTTATAATATTTGGAAACAGGGTCCTCGAGAAGTGGTTATCTGGCTTGCTGTACACCATAAGCAGAAAAAGGCTGTGGAAATCTTCTCAAAAGAGATTGCACCAGCTGGAACTGGAATGGGTAAATAGTCCCATCTCTTTCTCTAAGTATCTGGCTCTTACTTTTATTTTGATCATTAATATTAAGGTAGCGCTTATAATATGTGCCTCATTGTGTTGATTATGGCAGGTCACTTGGGGTGCCTAGCACTTTAAGAGATTAGGCAGCCTGCAAAGCTGCCAGCAGCTGTGGACCACAAAAGAGTGGGACCATGCATGTCCAGAGACCCAGAGAGGGGCCAGGAGAGATTGGGTCTATGCAGGTCCAGAGGCCCAGAGAGGGCCCAACGGCTTAGAGTGTGAGAGGACCAATGAACCCACAAGTAGAGTGTCTGAGGAAAGCTGGGATCAGGGCCAGTGCCCAAGGCTGCACCCAGGAGTAGCCAGGATGGGTGAAGTGCCCAGGTGTGGGCAGAGAGGAGCCACAACCAGAAGTAGTTATGATGAGCAAAGTGTCTGGGGTGTGGATAGAGAGTGCCACACCTGAGAGTAGCCAGGATGGGTGAAGGGCCTGAGGCTGGGGAGAGGGTCACACCTGGGAGTAGCCATGAGAGGCAAAGTGCCAAGGTATGGGCAGCAAAAGCCAGCTCAAGAGTGAACTGTAATACCTGTAGGCCTGAAAGGGAAAGTGGGACTAGAAGGGTCCAGAGGCCCAGCAAAGGGCTGGGGGATAGTGTGAGGCCCAGTGAAGGGTCAGAGGCCTAGAGAGAGGCCAGGAAAAGCGGAAGAAGAAAAGTGTCCCAGAGGAGACCAAAGGGGTCTGTCAGCCCAGAGAGGGACCGAGTGAGAAACCGAAGGGCCTGGCAGCCCAGGGAGGGCTTGTGCAAGAGACCAAGGGGTCTGAAGGCCCAGAGAGGGGATGGCTGAGGCTAAAGGGTCTGAGGGCCCAGAGAAGGGCTGTGTGAGTATCAAGAAGGAACATCAATGAAGATGACATCTGCAAGGCCTGGGATGTGGTGTAGGGGCAAAACGGAGCCATGCAATTGGTCCCCAAGGCCTTCACCACCAACCTGGTGGTTATTATGATAAGACCAGGGCAGCCTCCCACACTCTTTTTGACAATTAACATCAAGGCATGGTGGGTGAGGGCAGGGCAGACTGCCTGTAGAACAGGGTACAAGTAATTTTTTTGTCTCCAGGGGCTTTTATGGCTACCCCTGGAGATAGATCATGGTGTGACAGAGTACTATGTAAGCCCAAAGTTAATATGCTTACATGTTTTAGCTAAAGTGAGGTCTAAGACACTGACAAATTTATAGATGTTTATTTTGTTTGGAGTCACCTTTTGCTCCCCTGATGCTTTTCAGCCTTCTACTGTTGCTACTTTCTTTTCTTGCTTTCATCAGCTTTTTAATGTCCTTGAACACACTAATTAAGGTGATGGCTTTATTCTACTTCATTAAATTACTAAAATGACTAATATTACTAAAATGACTAATTTGTTAATTTACATAATTATATTTGATGATGTGCTGTTGCCTTCAAAAGTTCTGGATGAATTAGTGTGTAACACCCCTGACAGATGCTACATTTAAAGTGTGATTATGGAGCAATGCAGCAAAGTGTGTTCATGGAGCAATAAATTGCAACATGCTGTACGTTCAGACAATTTATCATGTGATACCCAGTTGCAAAAATGGCAATCTAGCAACAAAGTCTAAAGGTAGACTATTGTCTTGTTTGTATTGCACTTTAATTTGAACGCGTAGCATGTTATACACAGGGGCCAGTGTTTGGCCAGGTCCTCCAGCATCCCAGGGTGGACTGCTTTTTCTCCCAGCCCTTCTTCCTGCAACGGACTGTCTATGACTCATGCTTAACTCTGCTGCCTGAACTCTGCTGCCTCAGGACATGCTTTTCTTGCACACAATAGGAGTATGTTGGGGATAGAGGAAAAGCATATATACAAAAGTATCTTTATAAGGTGTCTGGGAAGAGTTTTAGCCCTGCTGCTTTCATCTCCCCAGCTTTGCACAGGTCTCCCCTGCTTTGCGAAAAGGTCAGGGGAGCTCAGCTGGTGAGCTCAGAGCTGACTTTTCATTAGCAGCATACCTGCAGGTGTGGGAGAGGGGCTGACAGCCCCTGCCAGGAGCTCTGCAAGTGCTTTTGTTGGTGAGCTCTGGCAGAGCAGGTTCCCAGGGAACTTTTTTCTCCTTTGGATAGCTTGCCCTGTGAACATGAAGCAGGTCATGTGGAATAACAGTTTCCATTGAGCAGCATTGCCTGATGGAAATAACATCTGCCTGAGGCCTAAGGTGCCACCCTGCTCTGTTATCTGTAGGGCTTCAGATTAATGAAGCTAACCACCTCTCTCTACCATAATTATATTTCGCTAGAAAAATATTATTTACTAGCAAAACTGCATCACATATTACCATTTTTCTAATGAAATAACATTAATGTCTTCAGGACCTGTGTAACCTTTAGGAGGGTGAAAGGTTTCTACTAAGCTACAAGCATTTGAAATTAAAACAGCCTTTTGTGAGTGGCTATATACTTCTAATTTGTTTAATATGGTATGGCATCTGTTTGCTTGTGGGATCACAGTTTTATCTTGTAATTTAGCATTTGCTGCAGTGGTAGTAATGACAATGTATGAATGATTCCTTATTTATACTGCTTGAACATCCAAACTGAATTCCTGGTCCTACACTTGGATCTATCCTAAAGGCTGCTCTCTCTTTGACTGTGAGGTTATATCTAGTGTGGCACATATCTAACATAAGGCTGATCAGCTAACATATGAATGTAATATGATTCTGTGGTGCAGGGATATAGGTTGTAGCCATGTTGGTCTAAGAACATAGGCAGACAAGGTTCTTTGGGTAAATCTGATATCTTTTATTAAACCAACTCAAGTAGTTGGAAAAAATTTTTTAGCGAGTTTTCTTCTTTGCAAGCTTTTAGGTACAAATACCCTTCGTTAGGCTGAGGAAGCATCTGCAGTTGGTCTGTGCTCTTCCATGATGGAATGAATAGTAAAGAAGCCAGAGGCTGGTATGCATGCAAGAAGGCCAGTCAGTGAAGATGTCAATTGAGGAGTCAATGGATAAGAGAGAGGTTGTGGGGGGCAAAAGGGAATGAATGTAGCTGGTAAATAGTAGAGAGGTACCTGGGGAGTCAAATGTTAAGCAGGTTATAATGTGTTATGAATCCAATATCTATATTTAGTCCATGATTTTTTGTATCCAGTAGGTTGATGGAATGAAGTTCGTAAGATTTTCTGTGACAGGTGTTTTGTAAATTCCCTATGAGGATTAGAACTGAGAGATTGGAGAGAGAGTGTTTTTTTTGTGAGAAATGTGCCCCCACAGGTAATTGGGTATTCTTATCTTTGATAGATTTCTGGTGTGCGTTCATTCTGGTATGCAGCTGTTGTTTCGTCTCTCCTGCATATTTTCCATCAGGTCATTTGGTGCATTGATGAGATATATTACATTTCTGGAGGTCCAGGAATGCTGATGGTTCTGTTGTGGGGTGTAGTAATTGTGGAGGTGGTGGAGATGTAGTAGGTTTCCTTGCGAACCTCATCACCAGAAGCAAACTTCCTCAGACCCAGAACACAACAAATGGATCCAGACCATGCCATACCAAGAAATGTAAAACCTGCCAACATATTTCCACCACCCCCACAATTACTACACCCCACAACAGAACCATCAGCATTCCCGGATCTTACACCAGCATTCCTGGATTATCAGTACACTACCGTCCATTAACAAAGTTCAGCTCTGTGGCCAGTTTTCAGTAGCTATTTGCTGCCCAACTGAAGAGTCTCCCAGTTGCCCTAGAAAACAGTGAAGTGAAAAAAACAACATATGCCTGGTAGAAGTTAATAGCAGGTCTTTGTAAAATATTATTAATTTATACAAGAAAAAATACATACCGGCTATGCTGTGAGCATGAAGAAGTACAGAGAGTCTGTATTTGAGAATTTGTTTTGAAAGTGTATGGAGCCTATTTTAAGTGCTATTTTAGTATATTCAGGAAAAATATCATATACTAAGATAGCTCATGTTACCTCTGTAATTTAATTTAAATCAACTGGTATTCGCTTCCTGTCCTAATCTCTCATAAAGGTTGTCTGGTTTCTGGTAAACCACATGCTAGCCACAGCCAACCTCAGAAGTACTGTACTTACTTGCATACCCCGTGCATCTTTCCCCACAAAATTAGCCCTACAAATTTGGGGTGCATGTCTTAAACAAGAAAGATAATTTTTCTGTCCAGGATAGAAGCATAGAGATGCTGTAATGGCTGCTGCTTCTCTTCCTTCTATCCCTCCTGGTGAGCCAGATGGAAGGAGAGGTGGAAGGAGTCCTCGGAAGCAACTACAGTATTAACTCTTTCACAGCTCCTGCTGAATTAGCAATAATTTTTGGCTGAAGAACAAAAATCTGCTGTTAATTCAGCAGCAACTGAGCAGCCATCAGTGGTGAAAGAACAGGTTAGGGACTGTTTAGAAAAGCTGGACATATTTAAGTCTATGGGCCGAGATGGGATGCATCTGAAGGTGCTGAGGGAGTTGACTGATGAGATTGCAGAGCCACTGGCCATCATCTTGGAAAACTCAAGGAGATCAGGAGAGGTCTCAGATGATTGGAAAAGGGCAAACATAGTGCCCATATATAAGAAAGGGAAAAAGAAGTATCCAGGGAACTACCTACAGACCACTCAGCCTCACCTCAGTCCCTGGAAAAATCATGGAGCAGATCCTCAAGAAATCCATTACTAAGTGATTGGAGGAGGAAAAGAAGGTGACTGGGAACCATCAGCATAGTTTCATGAAGGGCAAGTCATGCCTGACCAACCTGATTACCTTCTATGATGATGTGGCTGGCTGTGTGGGTGTGGGGAAACCAGTGGAAGTGACATACCTTGCTGTTAGCAAGGCTTTTGATAGGGTCTCCCACAACATTCTTGCAGGCAAGCTAAGGAAGTATGGGCTGGATGAATGGACTCTAAGGTGGATAGAAAAATAGCTGCAGCATCATGCTCAGAGGGTAGTAATCAATGGCTTGA